ACTCCAGTTTTTAGATTTTAATGCTTTTCCAACAATTTAGCATATATTTCCCTTGGCTCACTGTATATAACAGAAGTCCCCAACACCTTTAAATCAGTATATGCACATTCTTTTAAGGTTTTACTTGAAGGTACACAAGCCTGCATCTTAGTCTCCTTTCCCCCCCCCAAAAAAAGAATAATTGAACTACCACCTCCTCTTTTGCTCCTTTTTCATCCCTCTCAAACAATGCCTCTTTGGATGGCTATTTAGAAGAGAGAGTCTGGGTGCATAAATTTGACTAAGAGGCTGCATTCACAAATGACACTTGACCAACCTGCTAAGTTTATCTGGTTTTAACCTTAGTTAAATATTTGTGGGCATTTGGTTACTTTATGGAGCAAAGTATTGTGCAAACTCTGAATATGGGTTAATTCATTAACTGTGTTAAAGATGTCTTGTGAATGCATCTCTCTCTCCCTCCCTCCCTCCCTCTCTCTGGTGAATATAGCTAATACTCCTGCCTCCTATTTTCCCCACAACTTAATATTTATGACTTAGTGTGATGAGTTAATTAGGCCACTACAGCCTGTTCAAAAAACCATGATATAACAAAGCATAACTTAGTAACACAATGTGAACCCAACAGCTGTCATCACAGGCAAGACTTTACTGACACTTGAGAACTGAGAAGGGGAGGACTATGGAGTGTAACAATATACTAATAGTTTTTTATACTATTACAATAAATATTTCTAGAATAAAACCCTGCTTCCCAAATATATATACATATAGGAAACAGAGAGAACACATATCCATAAATTATTGGTTGTACATGAATATATGAAGAATAGATTTAACTAAGAAAACTTTCAAGCAGTCCTCCAGGCGTGTTCTTGTAGAGTTACCTAGCTTCATTGTTTTTTCCCCAGATTTTTGAATTTTGTAATATGGTATTCTGTGGGATCCTATAAGAATAATTTAGAGCAGTGTTTCTCAACCTCAGCAATTTTAAGATGTGTGGAGTTCAACACCCAGAATTCTCTGGCAGGCATGCTGTCTGGGGAATTCTGGGAGTTGAAGTCCATACATCTTAAAGTCACTGAGGTTGAGAAACACTGGTTTAGAGGGCTGACACTTTGGAAACCCTCTTTGATAAAGCTCGGTGTTATATCTGTTCTGGCATATAAAATGGTCAGTGGAAGTTTAGGATATGGGCATACTTTCATTTGGGCTAAGAGAGCTTTTAAAATTAATTAGAGAATGTCAGCACATCCATAGATGATAAGGCCTATTTAAAACACCCTAAGCAGCTCTAGGTATTTTAGCTAAATTGGAATGCTTCCTTTGAAGCCAGTAAAAGTCTTTGCTGATGTTCAAAAACTTCCTAAACTAATTTTTTTTCCCTTCTGCCCTCAGTGCAAAGTGACTCATTGTAACAGAAAAATGTCTCATTCCCATTTCAAATGATACAGACTGAAAAGTTTCTTGATTCTTCTCATTGAAGAACAAATGCAGAAGGTAATCAGTACAAAAATAGATAGAAAGGCTGAGTCCAATGTACTCTTGCCAGCTTTTAGTTGGCTCTTATACTTCTTTTCAATTCATTTGTGTTTAACTTTTTAGGATTCATTTGACAAAATAATTGCTTTTAATACTGAAGATTCACATCTTGTAGATTGTTTGAGATACAGTACAAAGGGATTGGAAGGGATACAGTGATGCCAGATGCTGTATGCAAATTTCACAGAGCAGCTATTCACTGCATCTCTATAATTACTCTTTCCAACAGTACCTATCTCCCTGCCACACATCACACACATACATATGCTAATTGCTATGCATATTTTGTATTTCATGTCTAATGACACGCACTTCTGTTTGTACAGCAATCAAAGGCACATCCAAAACAGCAGCAGGAAGATATCAGCTTGTCTATTTTTTCTTCGGGCAAAGCTTTCCACCATTCAGCATTTGCCCTGGGGGAGGTGGAAGGGGGGATACTTCGCCACCATGACTCAGCAGCCAAGTTTTTAAAAAGAAAAGGCACTTGGAGAAAGAGATTTGTGAGTGATCCTTGAATAGTTCCACTCAACTCTCCTTCTTGTAATGGTTGCAGTCTTCAGCCTTCTTCTTAAGTTATTCTTAATAGAGCAATTGAAACTCAGGTTTTAACTAGTTATGGGAAGGCAGTCATGTTCTGTTATTCATGCACCCAGGCTGACTGCAAACAAGATGAAAGGTAAGAGAAATGCTTTTTTGTCTGAAAGCAGGATGGAGTGTGCTCTGTCTACTGCTTTCCTCTCTCCTACATAGTTATTTTAAGCTGCTTTCTCCCAGCTTTGTTCAAACAATAGAAGTTACCTGGATTGGGAGAAAAACAAACAAACCCTGAAACTGCAAGGGAAGGATCAGCTTCTCAAACTCTTAATGGTGACCTCCCTCCCTCCCTCCATTCCTCCTTCCTTGTTTCCTCCCTCCCTCTCCCCCATCCTTGCTCCCTCTCTCCCTCCTGTTTCCTCCCTCCTTCCCTCCCTCCCTCCTTCCTCTCTCTAGCCAAGTCAGTCCAATTTCTGCAAATGGTTTATTAATTTTTTTCCAACCAACTTGGTGGCATTAGATCAGGGCCGACAGCCTGCCAAATTTGTATGAGCTCCCTATCACGCTGCTGCATCCAAGGCCCACCTCCCTTGTTTCCTTCACACCAAGCAGCCATGCAACTGAGACAATGGCAGCTTTGCCACTCAGGGTGTTTAGGGCACTCCATGCTTCTAGCAATAGTGTTTAATTTTGAAACCACATTCATAACTGAAAGTGAGGGAGAAACAGGCACTCCTTGAGGAAGTCTTGAAGCATCTGCCTCCTCCCTGCCCCTTAGTAAAACTACATAGTAAAATAAGCAATGATGTCAATAAACCAGCATGTGCTTATAGCTGTTACTTGTAGGACCTAAGAACGTGTATGAGTAGCACCATCAAGAGAGTGCTTAAGGTCTCTGCTTCTATTTGAAGGAAAAGTGGTCTTGCATTTCCTACTCTTGAGGAGTCCAGGAGAGGCAATTTAAAAATGGGGGTGGCAGAGGAAGTTCTATTCTCCTACCTTACATGGGCTGGATTACAGGTAGTCCTCAGCTTACAATGGCAATTGGGGCCAGAATTTCCATCACTAAGCGATGCAGTTGTAAAGCAGTCCAGGTTGCCATCATAAAGTGAATCCCATGGTCGTTAGGTGAGGCAACTTTCTGCCGGTTTCTCACAATCAAAGTCAGTGAGGAAGTCTGTCGTCATGCTTGCACATAACCAGAAAGAAAAGAACCCAGAGAGAAAACCGGGGGAAATCCGTCATAAAGTCAGCAGGAAGTTGCAAGTCCTAGGCCAGTAGGCAGGTAAGTGGCTACTGCTGGGTGGGGGAGGGAGTGAGGGTGCACAGGGGTGCAAAGGAGGGTCAGGGAAGGTGCATGAGGGTGCAAAGGGGTGCATGAGAGGGTGCTGGTTGGGGAGGGTGCGCAAGGGTGTGGGGGTTGTGCAAGAGGTGCAGCATGGATTGTCGAGGGTTTGCAAGGGTGCAAGAGGAAGTGCAAGAGGCATGGCACAGGTTGGGGAGGGTGTGAAGAGGTGCGGCGTGAGTCCAGAGGGGCTGGAGGAAAGTGCATGGATGGGGAAGACTTACCAGTGACTTGCAATATTCCCTGCTGGCTTTCCCATTGACTTTGCTTGTGGGAAGCCGGCAGGGAAGGTTGCAAATGGCGATCACGTGATCGCAGGGCGCTGCAACTGGTCGTAAATGCAAACTGGTTGCCAAGCACCCAGATTGAGATCACGTGATCATGGGGGTGCTGGGATGGCCAGAACTCTAAGGATTGGTCATGACCACCATTCATTCAACACCATCATAACTTCAAATAGTGTCAGGTTTAGCCCAAAGAACTCCAAGAGACAATGCAAATTCAGTTCTGCTGTGTTCATTAGCTACACCCTCTAGAAAGAACCTCCCCAGAGGGACCCCTAGCCCCAAGGCCAGCCAGCCACAACACCGTAAATTCCTCAGGGAGGTGCCAGCCTCATCCTCTTGAACTTCCCACGCTCTTGTGGTGAACTAAGAACACGCTTATCTTCCTGAGCCTGGCCTTCATAATTCCATTCCATCACAACTAGTCACTTAACAAACGGGAGGTCATAGGTCGAGGAATTCCTATATAGTTGAGGGGAGAATACTTTCCGGCCAAGCAGGAATTATAGGCCTCCTCACTTAATCCCAGTGATACTAATATGATAAAAAGTGCATCATGACATTACATGCAAGTACAGGAGAGGCAGAGTTTGTGTCACAAGCGTGCAACGCTTACTTCTCTGGGGATACCCAGAGCAAGAATGTTTGTGCTACCATATCTTCTCTGCTGAGCTCAACCACTTCCAAGCCATGGGGGAGGGATGGGGCAGAGACTTGTGTGTTCACTAAATTAGGCAATGTGGAGGGCTAACCTGGTGAATTATCACCAGAATCAGTTGTTGCCTAATTTAGGTAACATCATTTATTAGGCCTATTTTCGTTATTTGCTCTTAATTTATTATTTATTTGAGCTCTTCCAATTATTGTCTGTTTGAATGGATTCCACTGCGACAGCTGCCTTGAGCATATTGGCAAATAAAAGCGGGGGGGGGGAGGGTATCAAATAATCTGATTTTTGGTCTTAACAAATAAAGGCAGTAATCCCTAAAAAGTTTGGGGCCTGATTATAGGCAGGAATCAGCCTGGTTCTTCAGATCTGAGGGAGGTGCCCTTTGATGACCCCATCACTCGTGGAGGTCCATTTGTTCTGCATGTGGGACAGGATTTTGTTTTTACATTGTGGAATTCACTCTTGCTAGAGCCTGATTAGCTCCATTTTTAGAAAAGATGTACTTATTTTAAACTTTATTTTTTAAAGTTGCTTTATGCCAGTGTTTTTCAAACTTGGCAACTTTGAGATGTGTGGACTTCAAGTCCCAGAATTCTGGGACTTGAAGTCCACATGTCTTAAAGTTGCCAAGTTTGAAAAAACTGCTTTAAGCAGTTCAGACCTCATATACTTCATGTGTTCAGCTTTTGAACTTCTTGAGTTCAGCTTTTCTTTCCATTATTGTCCTCAGAACAACAGCCCGGAATACTGTAGCTGAGATAGTGACTGGCTCAAGGTCATCCAATGATTAAGCAGCGGTCTCTTTGAATGATTAGAAATGCTTCTTCCCAAGGTTTCTTGCCACTTGGGCTCAACTGCCCTTTATAAGCTAAGCTGTCAACTGACTTGCCTTCCATCCCTTGATTGTTTATGTCTCTTCTCCCTTCTATTACTTCCTTAATCTTTCCACAACCTCCCACATTGGGTGAGGATTAGAAAGTAATCTTGGGTGAAGGAATCATAGTCAACAGTAAGTATAAAAATGGAAATTATCTTTTGATTTATTGGTAAAATTCCATGTTTGTGGCAAGATCACTACATAACAAAAGCCTATAAAAAGTTGGTTAAAAAACACATGCCTCCTTTGAAAAGGGATGTGCTTTTTAACTGATTTTGGCTTTTGATTGTTTTTTGGTCTTTTGCCACAACCAACCATACTGAGATGTCCTTGTGATTTAGGCATGCAGTACTAGCCAGTTATAGCTGTGAGGCTTACTTAGGTAATCGACACAGTATTTGAATTGTTTTGAGCATTTAAATCAAGGACTGCATAAATGTTTACTTATGATTACACTTTTGGTACAGTTGAAGTTCTCTTTACATCAATCATTCTCAGCTCTCTCTAGGCACTTGCAATATACAACAGCACTAATTAAGTGAGATTAACTCTCTCTGTGTTTACAAATGGCTTTCTTTATAGCAGCAATGACTGAGGAATCCTTCTATATGCTTTATTATGGGTAGATAAAAGTAGAACATCATCAGCTACAAGAAAGTCATAACAGGAATAGACATGCCTATTAGATGCACAGTAGGAAAATACATTTTATTTCAAACCCAGAACAAGATATCACATTCTGGAAGTTCTGTCACATGGAACTTCTGGAAGACTTTTGCACATGTGTCCAGCACCTGATCAGGGGGTGGGGTGAAGGAAGGGGGAAGGGAAGAGACTACTGTAGAGAGAAAGGGGGAGGGAAGTGGCTCTGTGGGATCGGAGAATGGGCCAATAATCTGCTCTCCCAATTCCCTTCCTGCTGATTCTTGGGTGGCAGTACCTGATCTTACTTTACTAGGCAAAATATACCCCAATCCCACTCCCTACAGGCATGGGTGGACGGCGTTCATGCTGTAATGCCTGATCCACATGGAAATGGGGTGGGTTCTACCCAGTGAGGCAGAGAAGCATTGCCTGCTTTACTGGGCAAAATCACATATGCACAAGCCCAGGACCAGGTTTTAACAACTGATCTCTCACTTGGGAAGAACAGTTGGTGATGGTTTTTCCTCCCAGCACATGATGCCCAGTTGCTTTCCTTACATTATCCTACAATCAATATATCAGGACAGAACTGGTTGCTCACCTCCAGAAAGAGCTCAGCAACAAGGGCAGGGTGAAGTAGGGCAGGATGAAATACAGACTAGAGAGAAGCACAGAATTGCAACTATGAGGAATGGCCCTGTAATTTTATCTGGAATCAGCAGTGCAACACCGAAGGATACCACCATGCACTCAACCTCTCCTGATTTGATTTAAAATAAAGTGCTGCCTTTAATCCTCCCATCTCTATGTCACTTATGGGGAGGTAGAAGGACCTGAGTGGGCCTAATGTCCATTCTTCCCAGCTTTAGTACTTCAGGGTCTGCCACATAGAGTAACTTGGCTTACTTTCCTAGGGGACAAACAAGCTTCATAGTTGCCCTTTAGCTTCTGGCAACAGAGCTCAGAATTGCTCCCTCTTCTCACAGTGGGTATAAAATGGCAGAATTTGAAGCCCTCCTGTGCCTTTTAGTGCGTAGGTGGGGGATATACAATACGTACACATCGGAAGGGGGTGAGTTTTTTATGTGGATAAGGTTAAATGAGGAAATATATGATTGCATGACTCTGTCTGTGGAAAGTTAATAGAAAAAATATGTCTGAATCTTTGTGTTAACCAAAGTGTCCTGAATTAATTTAAGGGGAAAATTATTATAGGGGTTGCTTGGAAATAACTTTATTGCAGTTGCTAATATTGTTGTAAAGGGAAATGGTTTTTTTTAGAGAAAAGGAATGCAGGCTGCTATTTTAATTTATTTATTCATATATATAGTTTTGTCTCTGTATGCAAGTTCATATTAATACATCTATGCTTTCTTTCAATTGAATCTACTTCATTTTGTGACTGGACATGCTGCCATAGCAGAGTAACTACCATCATGGGGCAGACATTTGGAGACGGTGTTCCTGCCATTTCATTAGAATAGTCAAAGTAGTCCTGAGTCAAAATAATCTTTGTGGACCCCCTCATGGTTGCTGCCGCCAGCAGAATCTGAAGTTACGTTGTTGGAGATGCAGTGAAATTAATGTTTCATTTAATGAAGTGTCCAACAATTGTTCCATTTCGGAAATAAGGAATTATATGCATTAACTCAAGTTTGAGACTCAGTATTTTCAGATGTTCATATTCTTTTGAAGTTTATTCCTACCAGATGGAAGTTGACATCTGGACAAAGAAAGTGGATTTTCAATACCCTTCTTACAGCATTGGAAAGATAAACATATGGCCCCAACTATCCAATGGACTGCAGAATTGACATTACCAGCAATTTATGAACCACTAAGTTATTAAAATAGACTAGCTGTGGATGATTGTAATGAATTATGGCTTCCATTCTTTGAAACATTTATTGTACAATTTTCATGCATGTACGTGTGTCCATTAGTTTATGTCCTGTATGTTTTTATTTCTTTTTTAGCTTTCTTTTTTTCTTTTATAATTTTGTGTATTTCTTTTTCTTTGTGTTTTGTATTCAGTTAATAAAAAAAGATTTCTTGTGGGGAAAAAAGAAGGACATGAAGGTCTTCCCACACTGCTATACTCCCGCAATTGGTGTTCAGAGACAAAAACAATACAGCTAGCCATTATTACTCATAGCTATCAATAGGTTTGTCCTTTTTAAGCCTGTCTTAACTCCTTTGAAAGACATAGTCATGCAAAGAAATACTTTTAAGCAAAGACAAGGATACAAATACATCTGAATACAAATATAGATTTAAATAATGATGTTCATCTGGACTTTTTGAAGCAAGCCAGTTACGTTTTTTGATGCATGTCTGTCAGGGACTCTGGTGGTTAAAATACATAATCTCACAAGGCTGAAAATGTTCACAGTTCAGAAGAAAAGAAAGAATCCTGCCCAGTTGTTTTCATTCCATGATTTCTGTCTTTGGACTGTTCCAATAATGAATATGACCATCTAAATACCAGTAGAGGTGAAGGAAAAACAGGTAAAGGAGTCTTTCATCATGCTGGACATACATTTAAAAGTTCACTGACAGTATAATGACTTACATAGAAATGTAGCATATTAGTGAAGAGAAAATAACAACTATAAGTTTGCACATTGATGTTAGAGATTATATATTCCATTTATACAAAAGATATGTAGAACAAAATAATGGTCATAATGAAAATCTCTTAAAGGTAACATTTGGTAGCTATAATCAGTTTTTCAATATTGCATTCATTTTGTCCCCGTAAAATCCTGAAGTAACCATTTTCTCCCCAGGAGATTCCCCAGGAATTTGCAGCAATCTAAGGGGAGAGGAGAGAGAATATTTTATTATGGTGAATGCTGAAAAGAAGAAAGAGAAGAGCAAAAGGGCATCTGTGGTGTTCACAGTCTTGTCCTCATCCAGTTAGATTATCACTTCCAAATGTTTCTTTTAAAGAGCTTCTAAAGAGCTACTTGAGGACCTAATGTATCTATGTAATGCTAATGAATAATTAACAACCAGATAGGTCTTTTTTTTTAATGCCAAGTAGGATGATCTTCATCTGCATTGCAGTGAACAGAGAAGTAAGAGACAGTTTAAACTTTCCCTCCCCAGCTGAGATCCTAATAAAAATAGACCCCTTCTTGTAACGCTCTCCAGACCTTCTGAGACTGGACAACATGTTATTAAAGATACATCCTGCCCCTAAGGGTGCCCTTTCGTATAGTCTCTGTGTGCTGATCTGGGGTGGGCGCTATGTGTGATCAAACGTTATCCCACGTTACCCCATTCCTTTTGCAGCTAAGATGGTGCAAGAGGAAATGCTGCAAAGATAGCTCTACAGCAGTGTTTTTCAAACTTGGCAACTTTTTGCTGGCTGGGGAATTCTGGGAGTTGAAATCCACACCTCTGAAAGTTGCCAAGTTTGAAAAACACTGCTCTGCAGTATTAATGTGGAAGTTGCAGCCTGAGTGGTTTCCCTCTGATAGGAATGCTCACTTCATCCCACCAGCTCCCTCCTTTCTCTAGTCTTTTTTAAAGATGACAAGAGAGTAGCTTTGGAGTCTCCCTTTA